ACTCTTCAACACAAGGCTGGCTCAGGTAAAAGATCCAGGAATAGCAGATCAACATTGGGTTCTCTCCTTGACTGTCCCAAGTGGTCATCTACTCCCCGGAAGCAAGCTATCTCAAGAACCATGTCTTCCTTTACGAGCCTGCCTGAATGTTAAGATCATCAGGTCAAGACCTTCTCTCAGTCCCACCACCTTCACAGGTGTATTTGGTGGGGACCCAAGAGAGGGCCGTCTCTGGGGCTGCCCCCAAACTTTGGATCTCCCTCCCACAAGAGGCCAGGTTCGCCCCATCTTTCCTGTCCTTCCGCAAGCAGACGAAGACCCTTCTCTTCAGGCGGCTTTCCCTGAGTGACTAGCTGCCTGAGTTGGGTTTTTCAATGGATGGGTGTGCCTTACCGCATCGAATATGATTTTGTTTATCATCTTTCCGTGTGCTGTTTGGTCCTTATGAGTATTTGTATACTTGCTGTTTTTAGCTTTGAATGTTGTCTTTAATTGATTTAAGCTGCCTTGGGTCCTTTTAAAGCAGGAAGCCCGTATAAAAATATATATTTAAAACAAACAAACAACATCAAGTCTTGCCAAGCCACTGTTCATCTTTAGAACACAGAAGATTCCTGCAGGATCAAACTGAAGGCCTATTAAGTCCAGCCTTCTGTTTCCGGAATGGCCTCTCAGTTGCCCAGCGCTGTGAAGATAACGGCTCTTTTCTGCTCACGTTCCTCAGTAATTTATGTATGAAACAACGGCTAAACTCTTATTGCTTAGTGTAGTAAGTTGCACAAGAGTTGGCATGTGGCGAGTCCACTCCTCTGTCAATTCCATTTATTCAGGTGGGCCTACTCAAGTTGCAAGTCCTGTAAGCCGCACATAGAGGAGGCCCATCTGAACCAATGGGGAAGATGACTCATCAAAATCTCACGAGTTGCAAGTCCTGTAAGCCGCACATAGAGAAGGCCCATGGGGAAGCTGACTCATCAAAATCTCACTGACTCAGTGGGTCTACTCTTCTGTTACTTACTAGCCTAAGCAACAGGATCTTGGCCACTGTCTGTGGTCCTGAAGAAATCTAGGCCCATCTTGACTTGTGGCCACTAATGATAGCCTGTCCCACAAAGGTTAAAACCCTCCAGAAGGGTGGCCTTCATTACATCTCGTGGTAGCAAATTCCAGCTTAACCACACACTGCTTGAAGAGGTTCTACCTTGCATCCGTCCCGCATCAGCCACAGTTCAGCTTCTGCAGATGACCCCATTTAGAATCCAGTACTGAGACAGAGAGAGAAGAGGTGGCTCTATCTTCTGGTTGATCTTGCTATTGGCATTTACTTGCATATAAAGCTAAGCTTCATGACACATCTGGGTGAGATTAGGAATCCGCTCATTTGCAGAGTGACCTGTGAGAACAAACTTCTCAGGCCAATCACTCCAGACCTGCTTTGCCCAAACTGGAAACATCCTTCCACTGATGGATTGGACCCATTCCATGGCATCTCTGATTCACAGGTCATGGGCCAAACAAGCAAAGGAGTGGTGATCTGACACATTGAGGCATGTCAGCATGGGGGGATCCTCTTTCGGGCCAACCCTACCAGCTTCACAACACTTTGCATAAGAATACATTTGCAAATTATAGCATCTCTGTACTGTACACTGTGAAAGAAAGTAGCAACATTTGCTCAAAGGAATTAAGACGAATGCATACATTGGCGGATCCTTGGTAACCTACTGATGTCATACTTTGCAACTCACAAGCAACCCAACAGCACTGCTCGACCCCAGATGGATACAGTGAGAACATAAGCTCATATAACGTCAGACCATTTGCTCTAAAGAAGTTCCAGTGGACTGATGTTATTTTTATGTAGCCGAGACTGTAACCTAAGAGTTTTGGCAGAAACACACAAACAATGTATTTTGTTTTATTGGGTATTATATTCACCCTTTCCTGCTTAGACGCTAGGTCAGATTGCCGGCCTGTTCCTTCAACTAAACAACACACGCTGTGTTACGGCATTAGCCAGAGATTCGACACACACAAAAAATATGCAAATATTAACGCTGCTACATCATCGCGACGTACAGTAGATACGCGGCCTGATCTTGTAACTCATTGCAACATGTGTTAAAAATATACAGACATAAACAACACACGCTGTGTTACGGCCAGAGATTCGACACACACAAAAAATATGCAAATATTAATGCTGCTACATCATCGCGACGCACAGTAGATATGCGGCCTGATCTTGTAACTCATCGCAACATGTGTTAAAAATATACAGACGCAAGGCAATTTCTGATGACAAACCAGCCAGAAACAGCTTGCATGAGATCATCCAAAGAAAAAAACAAGGTTTGTAGGACCAAATCTTCAGCCAGTTAGCCAATTGTGGTTTGAAAGGGCAGAAATGAGTAAGAAATCTGTAACCTCCGTCTTTAAATGACTTACTCAGAAGCAACTATGCCCCTTAGGTTAGTAGGTCTGATCTCAACAGTGCTGTAAAAATAACAATCTCCATGTCCTGAGCCTCAGCATGTTTTCTTACAGGTCTTTGTGATTCCAATGCATTTTCCACCCTATTTAGAAACACAGCCTCCAAAAAAACATTCATTCTCTACACAGCAAATGCAGGCAGTCAAAGAGACAGGAAAGTGACACAGAGCTAGCAGATTGCTAGCAGGTCGAAAGAAAGTTTGATGTTCTGAGAAATAGGACCCAGCAGCTGGCCTTCCTTTTTCCTTCTTTATCATGCATTAGAAAAGTGTTTGGAAGTATGTGCTGACGGCTTTGTAGCTACTCGGACATTAAGGAGGCTTGAAAAGTGCGGACACCCCATTGTTTCCACTAGTGTTTTCACCTCTTCTGATAAGGGCCCTCACCCAAATGCACACGAAACACATGTGCACCAGAGAGATGTGCATAAATTAAGTGCCAGCTGTTCTCTGAAGAACTCCAACTTCACGTCGTTGGCCCTTTTACCCCATGGCGGTAACACTGTGATTCAGCGCACATTAGAAAAACTGAAAGTTCGAAGGTGACGCTTTAGCCCTTAATTTGTATTAAAGAGTCCCTCCTCCTTCCATTCATGCCGTCAACATTGCAGCATGCTTCTACTCTCCGGGTTGCATTTTCCAGGCGCATGTGCAAGCATGCATGCTTCCGAAGCGGTTCCGTATCACCTGGTTTTCTTTTCAAACCATGCACTTTTGGGTTGGACGGGACACGAGACCACCACGCCCAGCCAAACATGTATCTGACATTTGACCCTTGTCAAAAGAAAGTTGGATTTAGGGATACCCACCCACAAATAAGCATCCGATAGATGCAGCTTGGGAAGGGGTGGGTGGGTGGAAGAAACTCTCTTTTCTGTCCTCCCCAGTTAGCATTTTGGTTTGACAAAACTTTTATCAAGGAGGACAGGAAGAAGGAACCAAGACACCAGGAACGGCTTGAGGAGCATCATTTCTTTCTCAGCATCCCGGGCAGTATCTCACAAGGGGCCCCCGGGGTTGGACAAACACAGCATGGGGGTGGGTGGGGGAGAGGCTGCAGCTGGCTGTGAAAGGGATCTTTATATACATGTATGAAGGCCCAGTGCTAATAACTCAGCGCGGTGTTGACACAGCATAATGTAAACAGTGAAGTCCCTTTCAGAATAGCATGAGTCATGGTGTCTATCTTAAAGTTTGCTTTTCTCTGTTCTTTCCTAGCTGTTGGCGAAAACAGGCTGGCAAGAGTTACAACATCTTTACATGTGTAGCTATAAATGCACGGGGGCCCCGCAGAGAATGCTCTTCCTCTTCTGGGTATTGCAGGCAGAATGTCACTTGCAAAAACCACAAGAGGTGAAGTAAGACACAGGACTCAGTAACTTAACCAAGGATCCGATCGACTTTTCTTCCAAGGGTAGTGGCCGAGAGGTCCACTTAACTGATTCTCCTCTGGAATGACCTTCTGCACTCGTCCCCTAAAGCCCATGGACTCTGATGTAAATTCCCCGGGATCTCGAGAAAACTTCCAGGGTTGGTTGGAAAGCAAAGCCTTCGCTAATGTGTTAGTACAACTGCTAAGTTGTGGTGGCTGCCGAGAGAGGGGGAAAGAGGGGGAGCCGTTGTGAGATGGGGGGGAAGAGGAAGGAGAGCAGAAATGCACAACCCCCCAGCAAGATGTGCATGCTAATAGCATCTCAGTACCGCTTCTGGACCAACAAAAAGACCCCCACACAACCCAAAAAGATTTAGATCTAATCTCTAAAGCAAACAAACCAGCAAAAAAAACCAGAACACATGACTGGCAAGCAGCTGGCTCCCAAGTCCTTCTCCTAGACTCAGCAAAACTGTGCATTGTTCCAGGTTTCTGTGGAAAAGCCCCAAAACTGCATCCTTTTTTTTTTAAGTGCCCAATTCCATTTTTCGCCCAGATGCATCACACTCAGGCATAAATACGCTCCTTCCAGCAGCCATTCCACACACACACACACACACCATCCATGAAGAAACAGCAGCCAGCTCCTGCCAGTAGGCACCTTCCGAGGGGTTGTGTTCCCAGAGAAAGGGGGGGCCTTCTTTTCAAAAGATTTGGGAGTTTTAAGACGGCTCAGAGGACGAGATCCCCCCCCTTCCAAAGTGGAAGGGTGTGCAGGGAGGGTGGTTTTAAAATAAAGACGGGGGGGCTTGCACATGTCACAGGGAAGGAAGAGTCTTTCTTTCCCTCAAGACTTGGGAAAGTTTTGATGAAAAACAACAACACCATGCTATCCCATTGAAGCCAGCAGGGAAACAAACGGGTATTTTTTTAAAAGACCATGTTCTTTTTTCTTTCTTTCTGCACGCCCACCCCTTTGCCAAACGACACCCCCTCCCCATAAAAAAATCCGGAGCATCCCAGCCCCACAAAACTACGGCAAAGAAATCCTCCGGAGCCCCCCGCAGAAAACAAAGGCAGGGAAGGAGGGCAAGCGCGCGCGAGAGAGGGGGAAAGTAAAAGAAGGAGTAAATCACCTTGTTGTAGCTGTAGTAACCCAAACACTGGGCAAAGTCCAGGTTGGAAGGCTCTCCGGGAAGAGGGTTGCCCGACGCAGCCGGATAAAACCTTACATCCATGTTGGAAAGGGGCTGGAGTGGATTTGGGGAGGGGAGGAACAAGAGTTCGAGGCTCGGCTGGGGTGGGTTTCTTTTTTGGGGGGGAGGGTGTCCTTGGGGTCCAAAAAGGGGGTGCAGTCCAGCGATAGATCCACTCTTCGAGGTGGGGGGCCCCTGGTTGGTTGGTTTGTTGGTTGGTTGGTCGGCTCCCCCTCCCCCGCCGGGCTGTGGCGGAGGGGCGCAAGCCCTCGATCAAGTTGTCCGGAGGGGCGAGAGGGCGCGGGAGGGGGGGGGGTCCTCGGACGAAGTGGCCAGGCGAAAGAGGCGACGCTTCCCGGAGCACAAGGGGGAAGAGAGGCAGGGAAGGAGGGAGGGAGGGGGCGACACACCAGGGGAGAGAGGATGGAGGCGGGGGAGGGGGAGG